CTCCTCTCCTCTGTATATCTCTGACTTTGCAATAAAAATAAATAAATCTTTTAAAAAAATAATAACCCTGACTCTTAATAGATCTAAGATATTAAAAAAAAAAAAAAGACAGAAAGAGCTGTCAGGCCTGGCACGGTAGCCTAGCGGCCAAAGTCTTTGCCTTGCATGTACCAGATCCCAAATGGGCACTGATTCTTACCTCCGTGGCTCTGCTTCCCATCCAGCTTCTTGCTTGTGGCCTGGGAAAGCAGTCGAGGACGGCCCAAAGCCTTGAGACCCTGCACCCATGTGGGAGACCTGGAAGAGGCTCCAGGCTCCTGGTTTTGGATTGGCTCAGTTCTGGCCGTTGTGATCACTTGGGGAGTGAATCTGTATGTCCTCTGTATGTATCTGACTTTCTAATAAAAATAAATAAATCTTCAAAAAAAAAAAAAAAGAAAGAAAGAAAGGTGAGTTTGAAACAGAGAAGAGAAACAGAGAGATCTTCCATCTGCTGGTTCACTCCCCAAATGGCCACAAGGGACAAAGCTGAACTGATCTTAAGTTGAAAGCAAGGTTTTATCATAGCAAACATGTGGGGAGTGAACCAGCAGATGGAAGATCTTTGGCTCTCTTCTTTGCTCTGCAAATATATCTTTCCAATAAAAATAAATAAGATATTGAATAAAAGAAGAGTATTTTCAGAAAGCTATCCAAAAGTAGTATTAAGAAAATGTCCTTCATCACAGTCTTTTCATCAAGTGGCACACTTTTGCAAAGAGTTTCATTCTTATAAGCCTGTTGATCTGGTCTTCCCTGCTGCCAGCATCTCTACCTTCTATAAAATGGGTTCTTTTCATCCCACCTCAGGGAAGAGATAACTTGAAGGACCATAGGAAGCTGTCTGTTTCTTTGAAGTGTTTTCCGACTGTATAGATCTCATGAATCAGATCTTTCATGCAGATGATACTGTATTTAGCAAGAAAATAGGTAATCAGAGTGTCATCCCTCAAGGCAATTCATTTCTTATTGATTTTACCATAGCCACACTTAGCTCAGCTCATTCACTCACTTCAGTGAGGCCAGTTCACGTTGTGGATGTGCCACTTCTGATCCTGCTCCCTGCTTGGATTGGGAGAGGAGTGGAGTCCAATGCCATTATTTATTTGAAAGGTAGATTTCCAAGCATTCCATCCTAGGTCTGTCCCATCCCCTACCCGCATCCTGCCCAGGACCAAGGACGTGGGAAATTCTCCAAGCTCATTCTTCCCACCTGGGCACGAGTCCCCACGTTCCCACATGTCCCCTGCCTGCTCGACACCCCTAGGTCCCAGACATGCCTGCCACCCTCCCATGTGGGCACAGAATGAAATGCATTTTGCTCTTGATTACACTTACATAAAGTATCTATGGAGGGGCCTGCACGGTGGCTCAGCAGGTTGAGTCTGCAGTGCTGCCATTCCATAAGGGTGCCAGTTTTGCCAGCTGTTCCACTTCCAATCCAGTTCCCTACCAATGTGCCTGGGAAAGCAGCAAAAGGTGATCTAAGTGTTTGGGCCACAGTCACCCAAACAGGAAACCTAAATGAAGCTCCTGACTCCTGGATGCAATCTAGTCTAGTCATGTCTGTTGCAGTCATTTTCTCTATAACTGTGACTTAAAAAAAAAAATCAAATCTTTAAAACATCCATTGAGTACTCTGTAGCCTATCTGGGCACAATACTTTGGCACCCATGGCACCCACTGAATAGGAATATTCTTTAACTTTTCAGCCAGCATTATGTAAGATGAGACAATTCAAATGTCCACAGTGTTGATTAAAGTTTCTGCTGTTCATCATCGGTCTATTTCAATTAGGACACCAATGAGATTAAATTTTTCTCTGATGTTGCTAGTTGCCTACTTTGGCTTGCTTTCTTTCTTTCTTCTTCTTTCTTCTTTCTTCTTCCTTTCTTCTTTCCTTCCCGCTTATCTAATGACATTCAATGTCCACGTTGATTCAGTTTCTGCTGTTCATCATAGTCTTTCATTGTACCATGAGATTAATTTTCTCTGATGTGCTGTTGCTACTTTGGCTTGCTTGCTTTCTTTCTTTCTTTCTTTCTTTCTTTCTTTCTTTCTTTCTTTCTTTCTTTCTTTTCTAGATTTATATACGTAAAAAGCAGAGTTACAGTGGGAGAGAATCTACTCATTCACCCTCCAAATGGCTGTAGTTGCTGGAGATAGGTCAGACTGAAGCCAGGAGTCAGGAGTTTCTTCCTGGTCTCCCACATGGGTGCAGGGGCACAAACACTCGAGCCATCCTTTCCTGGTTTCCCAGCCCATTGGAAGGGAGTTGGATCATGAGAAAAGCGACCAGGACTTAAACTGATGTCCATATATGATGCTGGCATCACAGGTGGCAGTTTTATCCATTATGCCAAATCTAGTGGCTGTCAGCTATAGCAATGTCTTATCACTTCTTTTAAAAAATTCTGCATTGTAAATGGTAGCTTTTTTGGGGGCATTATCCCCATAGATGTTTATAGGAACATCGCTGTTTTTACCAGCGACAAGGAAAATAACACCTTTAAGTGGGTAACATAGGATTTGCCTGGGAAGACCTGTAGTTCCTGTCCAGACAAGGAGTCAGGGAACCCTTAGCAGCCCGACACTTCCTGAAATCCAGGGTGTCTCTCTTCTTTCCAGAGACACCCCATCTCCCGGATTCCTCCCAGGAATGTTATCCCTTTCTTCCTTCTTTCAGCTTCACTTCACTCACTTCACAAATAAAACTCCTGTCTGCAATGGATTCCCAGTCTTTTATTTCTATATGAAGCTGAGGAAAGAACACACATAGTTCCTATTTTTAATTTCAGGAATAACCTGCTTTCCTCCCTCCCTCCTTCCCTTTCTTTCTTCTTTCCTTCCTCCATTTCTTTCTTTTCTAGAAATGAGGTGGACCAGGCCAAACCATGGAGTTGGTAACCCAATCTAGGTCTCCAACAGACCCACCTGAGCCATCACCCAAGTATTTGGGTCCCTGAGTATACACTATTCCTTACAAAGCCAGAAAATGAGCAACATCCAAATTCCTGGAAAACTCCACCCAAAGCACCACTCCCCATTTTCCTATTTCCTCATTTCCTCATGATGATATAAACAGGGCAGTGGTAACTCACCTGAAGTGCAGCTTACTATCAATCAGGCCTGCATTGCTCAAGTGTTCTCTTACACTGTATCTTGCTTGTGCTAGAGGTGATAGAAGTGGGAAGTGGAAAGCAGGGAAGTGAGTGATTTGGGGTAAAACAGCAGGTTGGGAAGAAGGGAGAAAAAATGTCATAGAGGAGGCCTGATCGTTTCAAAGGGTGAGAGAATACACCGTTCCTAAATTACACTACTTTTGCAAAAGGCTGTTTTGAGACGAAAGCACTTCCAAAACAAACAAAAGAAAAATACAAGTCAAAGAAAGGCATTTTTGACTCTAAAACCCCCATACGGAAATAAGCTTCTTGTCTTAGCTGGAAAGTAACATCAAGAATGGGAAACTGCATCCAGCTCCCTGCTTGTGGCTTGAGAAGGCAATTGAGGATGGCCCAAAGCTTTGGGACCCTGCACCCATGTGGGAGACCTGGAGGAAATACCTAGTTCCTGGCTTCGAATCGGTGCAGCACTGGCTGTTCCGGTCACTTGGGGAGTGAATCATTGGACATAAGATCTTCCTCTCTGTCTCTCCTGCTCTCTGTATATCTGACTTTGCAATAGGAAATAAAATTTGAGAAAAAAAAAATGGGAAACTGGTGGTCAGCATTGTCGTAGAGTGTATAAAATGCCTGCCTGTAAGTTGGGCATCCCCTATGGGCCTCGGTTTGAGTCCCAGCTGGTTCACTTCCCCTCTAGCCCCTCGCTAAGGAATCTGGGATGTTACTGTGAGCTGGAGTCCCATGCTAGGAGCCCCAGCCCAGTCCAGCCCCAACCATTGGTTGCTGCCATTTGGGGAGTGAACCAGCAGACAGAAGATCTTCCATCTCTCTGTAATTCTCTGTTTCTTATTAAAAAAAAAAAAAAAGAAAGAAAGAAAAAGAAGTGGAGGATCCTGTAGAAAGACACCTCTTTAAAGTAACTTTTATATTCTTCTAGCCTTCTCACATAGTTTACTGTCCTACAATTGCCTGTATACTTAATCTCATCTATGGAAGCAGTGGGTTTTGCTAGCTCTTTGGCACTTTGCTTTTAAGGGCTCCCATGGACATTTGCACGATTTTCTCTCTTGCTACAGCTTCATTCTTAGTCCTGAACCTAAGCCCCTCCAGAGTCTCTTTGAGGCAGAGGGGGATGCTGGATACCACCGAGCCTAGAGTCCCTCCCTGAGAGCTTCCAGACTAAACCAACCGCCCATAAAATTAACGCTTTGAGTTGGGCGGAGCGGTGCTAGCTGGGCCTGCAGGGTCTCTACAAGGACTCCGCAGGGGATCCTTTATCGCCTTTGTAGATTTAGGGTTGATGGGACGAAGAGACGCAAATAGCAATAGCCTACATCGCCCTTACCTCCACTCCCAAAAACCATCAGGGCAAATACTTAACTGCATGGCAACTTATCTTTTTTTCAATCATTCTGCGTTAAATCAAATTTAACCCACCCTGCTTTGTATGTTTTGATTACAGAAAATCTCCGACCCAACAAAGCAAGGTGACCTTGGTATGAGAGTATAGGATCTTAGAAAGTACGCGGGTAGGAGAAGGAAGGGGAGCAGGGACCTGTGAGAGCAGAATCGGGACCAAGGACCTGAGAGCGCAGAACCCCAGCGGAGACGGCGCGCATGGTGCGTGCAGCCACCAGGCGGAGTCCCAGCGCCCCGCCACGGGCGGACGGGCGCGCGACGGGCGGACCCGCGCCGACTACATTTCCCAGGCTCCGCCGCTGCGCACGGGCCGCCCCCTTCGGCCCCGGCGCCCCGCGGCGCGCCCGCCCCCTTCCCAGCCGCCCCGTGCGGCCGGGCATGCCCAGTGCGGGCGCTGTGGCTCCGGCCCTGGGAGCGCCCCGGCGGAGCGGCGCCGGGCGCGGAGGAGCCGAGGGACCGGGCCGAGCGGCGGCGGCCGAGGTACGGGGAAGTGCGGGTCCCGCGGCGCGTTGACCCCGTGCGCAGCCCGTGCTGCTGCTTGGCCGGGGCGGTGAGGGCAGGCCCGGCGCACGAACGCGGGTTCCGGAGGCTGCGGGCGAGGGGCTGAGCTGGGCGCAGGGTCGTGGCGCAGGACCCGGCGCTGGGGGCGACGCTGCCACGGGCGCGGCGTGGTGCGGCTGGTGGTGAGCGTGGGCAGCACTCCGTGCACGCCTGTGGTTGGGCAGGGAGACTGGCCTTGCCGTCGGATGGCCGCGGAGCTGCGGCCGAGTGGTGACAGGTAGTAGGTGGCGCCCCGGGAGAAGAGAGCGTGTTTACCTTCTCTGTGCCTGGGCAGGGGTTATGCCAGGTTCCTGCTTCCTGGGACTAGTGCTGTAAATGAAGCTGCATTGCTGTGTCAGTAGATGCTTGACGAGTTCTGATGACAGTCAGGAATGTCATGGCCCGCCGTCTTTGAAGGCGTCGGAGAGGTTATTTGTCCGGTGAAAAGCGCTCAGTTAAACTCAAGTCCTCATTGCAGAGCTAAAGTAGGAAGGCCCAACGCCGCTTTCCCAACTCCAGGCCGCTTTCTGTAAATTTGGGAAATTGTTTTATCCGAAAGGCGGAGGGACAGAGACAGATCTTTATTCTCTGGTTTCATCTCCAAAGACAGACAGCAGCCACGAGATAAGTAAGAACCAGTTTGCATCTCTGCCCTGGCTGGCAGGGGTCCCAAGGGACTTGAGCCAGCGACTTCCAGGGTGACCAAGAGCAGGAATACTGGAATGAGAAGCAGCCAGAACTTAAACTACAGCCTCTTATTGGGACTGCGTGTGCTCCAAAAGGGTGACAAATTTTTCTTCATACCCCAGGCTGTTTGTCAGATAGTCCCCATACACCCTTGGAGAAGGATGTTAGAATCTCGGGGTAAAACTAAAATGGCTTGTGCTTCAGACGCCGCTGTTGGTTAGTAGGTTCCCTGTTGCTTGGTGCAGGCAGCAGCCAGGTGTTAACTGGCCCAAGTTCAAGCCAGGCTGAGCCAGGCAGAGCTACACAGACCCCAGGGCTGGCTCCTGGTCCGTGTCCCGTGAGAAATCCTGCGTGACTGATGGCCTTACACAGCTCCGGGCTGCTTTGGTCTTCAGTGGGATTATGTTTGCTTCGTTTTCATCTGTTCCACTTTATAGTCTCAGTACTGTTTGTTTGAAACGATTTATTGTTTGAAAGAGTTACACAGAGAAAGAGATATGGAGAGGGAGCTTTTTGTTGGTTGGTTCCCTCCTCGAATACGCTCAGTGTCCAAGGCTGGTCAGGTCAAAGCCAGGAGTTTCATCCGGGTCTCGCATGTGGTCGCGGGGGCCCGAGTACTTGGGCTATCTCCTTCCAGCCGGCACTTTAGCGGGGAGCTGGATCTGGAGTGGAACAGCTGGGACGTGAACTGATGCGCACATAGGAAGTCTTGAGCTTCATCCTTCAGCTTTGCTGTCATACCCCCACCCCTCCGGGCCTAGAGTCCTGTCAGGGCATCCTCAGAGGTGTGTCTAGAACTCTGAGGTGTTTGCTTGGACGGAAGGAGAGTGGATGCGTTTCTCATCCTGGAGACTGGAGTTCCTGCATGGAGAGCCTTGGTAGGATTTAACCCCACGAGCAGAAGATGCTGTGGGTGTTGTGCAAGCAGCTTTCCTGCCACTCTAGTCCCTGCTCTTCCAGTTCTAAGTGGCCCAGGTCCAGTTGCGTCAGTGAGGTGCAGTTCGTTGAGATGGTTAAAGGTCAGGGAAAGTGTGTTTATGCTTTGAAACTTACACAAGCTGCTGTGTGTAAAATTCTCTTAAATTGAGAATAGTGCACTTAGTTTAGTAGGAGGTTGAGAACTATAGAATCACAACTTTTTTCCTGGGCACTTTCAATTTTATTTATTTTTAGATATAATTTTTTAAAGACTTATTTATTCTTGTTGCAAAATCAGATATACAGAGAGGAGGAGGAGAGACAGAGAAAGATCTTCTGTCTGATGATTCACTCCCCAAGTAGCTACAATGGCTAGTGCTGTGCCGATCTGAAGCCAGGAGCTCTTCCGGGTTTCCCAAGCAGGTGCAAGGTCCCAAGGCTTTGGGCTGTCCTCCACTGCTTTTCCAGGCCGCAAACAGGGAGCTGGATGGGAAACTGGGCCGCTGGGGTTAGAACCAGTGCCCATATGGTATCCTGGTGCGTTCAAGGCGAGAACTTTAGCCACTAGGCCACTGCGCCGGGCCCACATTTTTAAATATAATTAAAAAAAAAGATTAGTTTGAAAGGTATAGTTATGGATAGAGAAGGAGAGGTAATGAGAGAGATCTTCTATCTGCTGTTTCACTTTTCAAATGGCCATGATGGCTAGGACTGGACCAGCCTGAATCCAGGAGCAGGAGTTTAATCCAGTCTCCTGCACAGGTACTGTAGGGACCCAAGTGCTTGTTCCATCTTCTGCTGCTTTCCCAGGTGCCTTAGCAAAGAGCTGGATCAGAAGTGGAGCAGCCAAGACTCGAACCAGCGTCCACAGAGGACCCTGGCATTGCAGGTGTTGGTTTTATCTGCTATGCCACAATCCCAGTCCCTGAATTTTGCTTTTCATAACTTTTGTTTATTTCTTTGAAAGGCAGATTGAGCTCCTATCCTAAACAGCTAGGCCTGGGTAGACAGGTGTCTTGTACCTGGTCCTCAGCTCCACATGGAAGGCAAGGCTGCATGTGCCAGAGCCGTCTCCCACTGCCCTCTGGAGTTCAGCTTGTTAGGAGGCAGGATAGGAGTGGAGTGGGGACCTGAACCCAGATCCTGATTGAGAAAGCCGGCATAATGAGCAGCATCTTAATCACACTTTATAAAGCTTGTCTTGGGCCTGGTGCGATAGCCTAGAGCTAAAGTCCTTGCCTTGCATGCACTAGGGTCCCATATGGGCACCGGTTCTAATCCCATCCAGCTTCCCATCGAGCTCCCTTCCTGTGGCCTGGGAAAGCAGCGGAGGACGGCCCAAAGCCTTGGGACCCTGCATCTGTGTGGGAAACCTGGAGGAAGCTCTGGACTCCTGGCTTCAAATTAGTGCAGCTCCAACCACTGCAGCTGTTTGGGGAGTGAATCAAGGAACGGAAGATCTTCCTTTCTGTCTCTCCTCCTCCTCTCTGTATATCTGACTTTCTAATAAAAATTTTAAAAAGCTGGTCCCTGTTTATATTTGAGATCCAGAAGCATGCTGACAGAGAGCCTATGAGTACACTCCCAACTGCTGGCTGGTTTACTCCCCAAACTCCCGTAACGGTGAGGGTCAAAGCCGGGACCTGGGAGCTCCATTCACATCCAGGTGTCCCAGCTTGGTGGCTGGAACTTCATCCTTTGAGCCATCACTTGCTTCCCCATGATGTGCATTGGCAGAACAGCCAGGCCTCAGAACAGGCTATGGGCTGTGGGTGTGCCCAAGCAGCCTTCCACTGCTCTGCCAAATGCCGCCTCTTGGCCTAGTTCAAAATCTACTGGTACTTGTGCGCTTGTTTTATTATGCATAAGTATCTATTTAAAATGACAAAGCCGGAAGTCCTCTTTGGACCTTGCTCAGTGATTTTGCCATACCTTAAGCATTGCTGTGTGCTGGAGGCCTCTGTTGTTGACTCAGGTGCACGTTTAGACAGTTTGTAAGAACTTCCACGAAGCTCTTGTTGTTTTATTTAAGCACTGGGTGATAGGCAGCAAACCTGAAAATTGCTCCTGAGACACTTTGCCATTCAGTACCTTGTCAATAAAAAATCTTGGAAAGTGTAGCAGCAGATTTGCTGGGGTTCCACATTGAAGGCGTGGGTCTAAGAGCACATTTTCCCTCTGGAAGTGGAAGAGAAGTTAGTGATTTAAAAAAAAAATACTATAGTTTTTAGGTTTCCATGGATCCTGGGATACCAATTCCTCACTGTTACAAGCTGGCGTCTAATGCTGTCATTTTAGGGTCGTAAGTATGTGGGGTCATGGTATAGCAATGGGTGTGAAGTAGCTTTTGCTTAAGATAAATGTGTCTTCCGTATTTTCCAGGTCCTTCATGATGAAAGATTTGGGGGCATTCCTCTCTCCTCTGTGTAGTTGATAGTTTGGGTGGTGAAGAGATGGCCGACAGTGTCAAAACCTTCCTGCAGGACCTAGCCAGGGTGAGTACCTCTTGACCTTTTTCACTGAAGAAGCTGACTGGAAAATGCTTTAGGTGTTTTTAGAAATGTGTGTATTTTTTATTTATTTGAAAGGCAGAGTGGCGTTCACTCCAAATGCCTGTGACAGCCAGGCTGGACCAGGAGGAAGCCAGGAGCCGTGAGCTCCTCCCAGTCTCCCAAGTGAGTGGCAGCCCAAGCACTTAGGCCATCTTTCCTGGTCACTCAGATTACCAGTGGCACAAATCTCCATTACTGTTCGTGAATGTGCGGTCTAGTGGCTCAGTTGTGACTCTCCTAGCCATGTCCCCACAGAAGGGGGAAGGGGGTGTTTTAGAGGAGCTAACGATCCTCTTGTAATGCTTTCACTGTTTTGCCATTTGTGTACTGTTAACTCTCAAACCTAGATCAGCTCTACAGTATGCTGTCAAATTTCTGGTTTTAAAAAAATAGAACTTGCAGTTTTATAGTTAAAAGCAGAATAAGAGTTAAAAGTTGCTCAGACATCAAGGGTTTGGTGCATACTGTTCCTGTGTACATTATCATCAGACAGTAACTGAACATGCCATTTCTCTGTATCTTGGGTATTTCTAACATTTATTTGGCTGATCATTGTAGGTGATAATGCCATCCTTCAATCCAGATTGGCCACTGCTTCTGGAATCTCTTTGCCTGCCTTTTCATGTGGTGGAATATTCCAGTCCTAGGACTTCTTTGGACATAAATCTTACTGTTTACCTTTACTATGCTGTATATTCATTCCTCCAGCTACACCTCCCGTTATTTTGTGTTGTGTGACATGCTCTTACCCTGCAGCGTTTTATAGTTGACAGTAATTATTTATCTTCCTCCAATCTTGGTCCAGCCCTAGTTCTTTCAGAGACCAGTGTTTTATCCATTGTATCTCTTGATTTAGCACAGGATATAGGAAATATTGCAGGCATTTCAATAGTACTGAAAAGGTATAGGGAAAAGCGTTATCTTAGTTTCATAGTTTTTATGTGTGTGGTGGAATTAAAAAACTGCTGATTTTGCAGCCATGTTTTTCAAGATTGGTTTCGGGTGTCAGGCCTGGGAGGAAGGGTCTTCATAAGCAAGGCATTTGTGTAGTCTCAGCAACATCTCGCCATAGATTGCTGATGAGTTGCAAGAGGAAAAATGCATGCAGTGAAGAGCTGGCTAGTACCTTGACATTGAAATCGACATCCCCAGCCAAAGGCAGACGGGTCTCATGCCCCTGAGACCATGGCTTGAGGGCATGCCTTCACCTCTGGAATTCCTGCTAAAATTACTCAGCCTGGACCTCAGCATGAGGAAGCAGACTCAAGTTGAGGGAATTCCCTAAAATAACTGGTCCATATTGCAAAAGAAAAACAAAAACTTCAGCACTTTCGCTGACTCAACTGAGACTGTGAAGAGATGGCAGAAGTAGCTACAGTGTGATTCTGGACTGACTTCTGGATGGAGGTAGTGCTGTAGAAGGCATTGTTGGGACAGATGGAGAAACTGGAGTATGGCGTCGATTGCAGTACTTCTGTATACCTGTATCGAATTTCTTAATTATGTTACGGTTTTGTGAAAAATGTTCTGAGGAAATGCACTGATGGTCTGGTACTGTGGTATAGCTTGTTAAATTGCTGCCTGCAGTGCTGGCAACCCATAGGAGCAGTAGTTCAAGTCCTGTCTGCTCGCTCTTTCCTTCTTTTCTTTCTCTCTCTCTTCCTCCCTTCCTTCCTTTCCTTGAGGGTTTATTTTTAATTGGAAAGTCAGATTTACAGAGAGAAGCAGAGACAGAGAGAAAGATCTTCCGTCTGCTGATTTCACTCCCCAGGTGGCCACAACAACTGGAGCTGAGCTTATCTGAAGCCAGGAGCCAGGAGCTTTTGGGTCTGCCTCGAGGGTGCAGGGTCCCAAGACCTTGGGTCATCCTTGACTGCTTTCCCACGCCACAAGCAGGGAGCTGGGTGGGAAGCATGCAGCCAGAACACGAAGTGGCACCCATATGGGATCCCAGCACATGCAAGATGATGACTTTAACCACTTGAGCCCCTCTGCTCTTTCTAATGTGCTTTCTGTTAATGTGCCTGGGAAAGCAGTAGAACCAAGCACTTTGACTCCTGCATCCATGTGAAAAGCCCAGAAAAATCTCATGGCATCAGCTTGGCCCAAACCCAGTTGATTCATCAATTTGAGGAGTGAACTAGTGGATGAAAGACCTTTTTGTTTCTCCTTCTCTCTTATATTTCAAATAAATAAAATAAATCTTAAAAAAGAAAGAAAAATATACTGGGGCTGGAGCTGTGGTGTATCAGTCTAAGCTTCTGGCTGCTCCACTTCTGATCCAGCTCTGTGCTAATGGGCCTGGGAAAGCAGTGGAAGATGCCACTGGGGCCATTTGGGGAGTGAACCTAAAGAAGCATCTCTTCATATCTCTCTCCTCTCCTCCCCCCTCCCCACCTGCTTTATCCTCCTCCTCTCTCAAAGAAAAAACAAATATTAAAATATATATGCTAAAAGGGCTGGCATTGTAGCACAGTAAGTTAAGCCTATGCTTGCAACCTCGGCATTCCATATCAGAGGGCTGATTCAAGTTTCCATTCTGCTTTGCTTCTAATCTGGCTTGTTGCTAAATGCTCCTGGGAGGAAGTAGGCATGACTGAAATACTTAAGGCCCCTGTGGACGTGGATGAAGTTCTTTTCTCCTGGCTCAGCACTGGCTGTTGTGGTCATTTGGCGAATAACCCGTGGATGGAAGATATATATGCATATCTGTTATTGTTCCTTTGAAATAGATAAAAAAGAAAAAAGACATCCAGTGAATTTAAAAGTAAAGGGACATAATGTAGCAACTAACTTCAATAATTCAGGAAGTTAATATGTGTATATATATATGCATATATATGTCTATATCTGTAAATATGGTAAAATATTAACTGATGAATCTGAGAAGATATTTGCAAGTTCTCCATTATTTTTGCAACTCTCCTGTAAATTAGGAGTTATTTCAAAATTTTAAAAATCTGAGTCTTTTAAGAATTAGAAACAATAAACTACAGTGGTTTTCATAGTTATTTCATTCTGATTTTTTTTTTTTTAGAGCGCCCTTAAGTAAGTTTTTTGGGTGAAGGTTTATTATTTGTATTTGCTCGAAAAGGCAGAGTTGCTGAGAGGAAGTACTAGAGATCTTCCATCTGGTGGTTCACTCCCTAAATGGCTGCAACATTGAGACTGGACCGAGCCCAAAGCAGCCTGTAACTTCATCCAGGTCTCCCATGCTGGTACAGGGGCCCAGGCACTCAGCCTTCTTCCTCTGCTCTTGCAGGTGCATTAGCAGGGAGCTGGATCAGAAGTGGAGCATCTGGGACTCAAATGGGATGCTGTGGCAAAGGTGGGGGCTTAATGTGTTGCACTACAATGCTGGCCCCTGCTATTTTCACTTTATGTAGCTTTGAAAGTCATCTCCATCGTTGTCCTTTTTTTTTTAAAGCAGTATCCTTGTCTCTAGGGTATCAAAGATTCGATCTGGGGTATCTGCACCATCTCAAAGCTAGATGCTCGAATCCAGCAAAAGAGAGAAGAACAACGTCGAAGAAGGGCAAGCAGTGTCCTGGCACAGAGGAGAGCCCAGAGTGTAGAACGGAAGCAGGAGAGGTAAGGAGAGCAGTGTGGTGCTAGAAGGTACCCCGGGGACACTGGAGGAAGTGACTGGCTGTGTAGCATGGAATAAAGTTCCTGTATAGTCACCATCCTCATTGTGTTTTGTGTTTTCTCCCAGATCAGTTTTATAGATGGTTTTACTTCCCCAACACATTTACTTAAATGTGTGTCTAACAGCAATCCTTGCTCAAAATGTTGTGCTAAAAAAAAAAAGTCAGAATGGCAAATTAAGAACCACAGAAAAATTATTTGGTTTGATGGATACTTGCAGGAGAATCCTAACCCAAGCTGCCTTTTAATCCTCTTCAACCTCAGATTTCAGAAGACTGTGTGATGTGCTTTAGAAGAACAAGTTCTCTAGAAATATTTTCCATGTTCTCTCATTGACATTAGGACAATGGGGGAATGTTAGTGTGTGTAAGGTAGACAGCTGTTGGAGGAAGTGCCTTGTCAGATAAAGTGTATGCTGTCTTTTCTAGTGAGCCACGGATCGTCAGTAGAATATTCCAGTGCTGTGCTTGGAATGGCGGAGTGTTTTGGGTAGGTTCTTTTTCTTCAGATTCCATGTACCATATAAATATCTTTGGATTGTTCCTGTGTTAATTGTTCCCTACTGTTTCTTTGAAACAGTAAGAATCGGCTTTTAGCTATTTGTTAGTGTAGTGACATGGGATTCTGAACACCTGCAGTGATATTGCCATGTATAAGGGAATAGTGGTATTAAAGAGAGCCCTGAAGATCCCCAGGAGTTTTGGTAGTGTGACAGATGATGTTTTGTCTTGACATTGTCTAGATGCTTTGGCTGAGAGCAGCATTTGGGGTCGGAGGACAAGGTGGATGTGCCTGGACAACAAGGAGCAGGTTCACGCTGCTCTTCTGCTCCTTGTGCTTTAGAGATGGCTGCTGTTGAAACTCACAGACAACCTGCCTTCTTGTTAACTAGGAGTGAACACAAGCTTAAGTGAATTTTGGTGACTTCAAAGGCAAAGTGGTTAACTGTTCCTTTTGACTGCGTATCGCGTGTAATTAAACTCATCTCTTTTTCAAGATTTATTTTACTTATTTGCGGGAGTCACACAGAAAGGGGATGAGTGAGGATAAGAGATCTTTATTCTGCTGGCTCATGCCCAAGTAACCACAATGGCTGGGACCGAGCTAGGCCCCAGGACTCCCTCTAGGTCTTCATGTGGATGCTCATGGAGGGTGGCAGCATCATAGGCAGTCACTTCACTCATACCCAGACCCCTCATCTTTTTTTTTTTTTTTAATAAAGATTTATTTATTTTAAAGGCAGATATAGAGAGCAAGAGACAGCGAGACCTTCCATCTGTTGATTCACTCAGGTTTCCCTGCTTGGCTGCAGGGGTCCAGTAACTTGCACTCTGTTGCACTGCTTTCCAAGGTGTGTTCATAGGGAGCTGGATCACATGTGGAGCTGGGGAGGGCTCGAACTGTTGTCATCACAGGCAACAGCTTAATCTGTTCTGCAGTGCGGCCTGCCCAGCCCCACCCCAGCTCAACATTATCTAGAGTTCACCAGGTTTCAGGTATTCATTTTAGATTTAACTAATAAATATTGGAGGTCAGCACTGTGGTACAGCATGCAAAGCTGCCGTCTAAGGTACCGGCATCCCACTTGGGCACAGATTCGAGTCCAGGCTGCTCTGCTTTTGATCCAGCTCCCTGTTTTTGCACCTGGGAAAGCAGCAGAAGATGGTTCAAGTGGTTGGGCTCTTGTACCCATGTGGGTGATCCAGAAGAGGCTCGTGACTTCTGACCAGCCCAGCCTGGCTGTTGTGGCCGTTTGGGGAGTAAACCAGCAGAAGGGAGATCACTCTATGTCCTCGTCGCTCTTCTTTGTATAACTTGGCCTTTCAAAAATAATTTTAAAATTAAAAAAAAAAATTGTTACTATGTGCTTAGCTTAGTAGTAGATACCTGTTTTATAGCCTGAATATTTTAGATCTGTCTTCTTTCATTGTTTCATAGGCAGAATGAGGTTGTGCCTCTTGGATGAAACATTGGGAACTGGAAATAGGTCCAAGTTTGGTACTTTGTCAGGCTTTCTGTTTAGTAACAGGTGCCTCCATCAGGGAAATCCTGCTTGCGAAGCTTAAACTCTTGTTTTAAAGAGGAGCTTTTGAAGTTTACTGTATTACTTTTTTCTTTTAGTTCAGTCTCCTCTTGTTCTATCGAGTGTTTATCCCAGTGCTTCAGTCAGTAACAGCTCGCATCATTGGTAAGTGTGTGTCTTGCCTCCTTGCTGTCTGGGGATGGAGGTGGGAGGTAGTGTTTCCATTCTCCTTTAGCTTATTGAACATACTTCCTGTGTACAAGGAGCTTTAGATTTTTGTTTTGTTTAAGGTTTATTTTGGATTTATTTGGAAGGTGGAGTTAACAGAAGAGAGAGGGAGAGATAGAGACATCTTCCACAGCCCAAATAGCCACAACAACTGGATCTGGGCCAGTCAATCAGGGGCTTTATCCAAGTCTCCCACGTGTGTTGCAGGGGCCCAACGACATGGACCATCTTCTGCTGCATTTGCCATAATGTCATCCCTGAGCTTTATTTGTTTCTAATGTAGAACTCTCAAATACCTTTTGAGATATATAATGGAAGTTAGTTACCAAAGTTGAACTGTTAGTAAGCCTGCTGGTTTCCTGCCTACTGTGTGCTGTTAGTCACTATAACATCTGGATCACCAAGGTATATGTGGCCCTGTTTCAAGATAAAGCAGTGCATGGCCATGTTTACCCTGAGTTAGAATTCTGGCCAGAATGTGAGATATCCACCAAGGATAAGATCATCTGAGTTATAGTGATGTGTTACCAAGAAACAAAGAGGAGTAAGAAGGAAAAATTGGGCCTAGCACGATAGCCTAGTGGTAAAGGTCCTCACCTTGAACACGCCAGGATCCCATATGGGCACCGGTTCTAATCCTGGCAGCCCTACTTCCCATCCAGCTCCCTGCTTGTGGCCTGGGAAAGCAGTCGAGGACAGCCCAAAGCTTTGGGACCCAGCACCCGCGTGGGAGACCCCGAAGAGACTCCTGGCTGTTTCAGCTCAGCTCCAGCCGTTTTGCGGCCACTTGAAGATCTTCGTCTCTGTCTTTGCTCTGTGTATATCCACCTTTCCAATAAAAATAAATAAATCTTAAAAAAGAAAGAAAGAATAATCACAGAATGGAGGTTCCTTATCAGGCTTTCAGGTTTTGATTTCTCTGTGCAATTTTTCCTTTCTTAGGTGATCCATCATTGCATGGAGATGTTTGGTCATGGTTGGAATTCTTCCTCACGTCAGTTTTCAGTGCTCTGTGGGTGCTCCCCCTGTTCGTGCTCAGCAAAGTTGTGAATGCCATTTGGTTTCAGGTAGGTCTAGGACAGAATGGAGAGTGCATCCTTCAGCCTGATAGGGCGACAGGTGACCAGTCCCAGTCTGTTGTTGAGGTACCTGTTTCTCAGCCTTAACCTTTCTTGGCTAATCAGACTGTGGGTGACCTTTGTACTCTTGTGAAATGGAATTATGATCTCAAATCACTGGAGCTTCCCATCTCACCTGGGGTCTTTTCTCACCTGGCAGTTCTGGTGGCAAAGTAGTGACTTTGAACTTTGGGATGGGTGTCAGGGTTATTGAATTCATGTGTTGGTGTGCTGTTTTCTCTGTTGTAGGATATAGCTGATTTGGCATTTGAGGTGTCAGGGAGGAAGCCTCACCCCTTCCCTAGTGTGAGCAAAATCATTGCTGACATGCTCTTCAACCTTTTGCTGCAGGCTCTTTTCCTCATCCAGGTGAGACTGGTCCCTGGGCACAAGGACAGGTTACACAGATGTTTCTCTAGAAGGAGTATCACAAACACAGGCCTTGACATTTATGTTGGTGTGTTCTTTCTGAGAAGTAATGATTTTTAAATGTATTTTTTTGAGAGGAACAGGGAAGTTAAAAATCACAAAATTAAAAGAAATATGAATTTATCTGCTCTTGCTGGCTGTCCTGGGTATTATGTGATGGTGGGAGTGTGGCAGGGAATGGAGTTAAGTCTCTGAAGTTTCAAGATGACAGTTTGTTGTTTTTGTTCTTCAGGGGATGTTTGTGAGTCTCTTTCCCATTCATCTTGTTGGCCAGCTGGTTAGTCTCCTGCACATGTCCCTTCTCTACTCCCTGTACTGCTTTGAATATCGTTGGTTCAATAAAGGTAAGTCCAGCTCAGGAACCCCAGAATGCAGTGGGTAGGTTTGGAAATGCTAGTGCCAAGTGGACTTAAATGAGTCAGCACCTAGTGCCCTTGGCAGATCATCTTGGAAAGAAGCCTGCTTTGTCTTCATGGGTTTAACGTTTAACTTTGAATCTAGGAGAGGTATCAGTATCACACACCATCCTTTTGGTGCTTAATAATATGTAGCTCCCACAGCACCAGAAGAAGACTGGCATTATGTCTGGGTGAGTGTGGTTGAGTGAGGGTAGCTGGTTCCTGCAAGATGCATCCCTCTTATTGATGTCATGCTTTGTTCCAGGCTAGTCCTGACAAAGGATACTGCTGCTGAAGTCCTAATTGACTTAGCCTCTGAGCCTTGAAATTGTGATTATTGAATTATAAAAACTTTGCATACAAGCTTTATATCAGATTTGCGCAGTGCTAATTTATATGCTGTACCTGTGTTGTAAAATGGTAGGTTTGCACCCAAAATCAAGCCTCAGTTTGTTGACCGTAGTTCTTTAGTTACTAGAGTAAAAGGAAATCTCAGTGTAATTGTGTTTGGCTCACTTTTTTTAGGAATTGAAATGCACCAGCGGTTGTCAAACATAGAAAGGAACTGGCCTTACTACTTTGGGTTTGGCTTACCCTTGGCTTTTCTCACAGCAATGCAGTCCTCATACATCATCAGGTAATTCGGGCAGAGGGATTTGAAATAAAATTTATTCCTATAGTGAGCCCCTCTGCTTCCCCAGTTCTGTGCTTAGAGGACGTGGGATTTTCCTCCTTGACAGTCATAGGCATTTGTCAGCGTTAAAATTGAAATCTGCGTGATGCGTCATCGTATATTGTTTATATGGCTTCCTGGATCCAGTATTCAACATTTCAGTGCCTAGATAGTTTTTCTCGTTAAAAGTGCATTGATATAGTAAGATTCCATTAAGACGTTTGTACTAGAGGCAAAGATTAGCAATTTTAATGTCTTCTCTAAGGTCATGTGACTAATTATTTTTGTTTGTTTTCACCCCCACCTTTTATTTTTTTTTCCCTTTAAATAGTGGATGCCTCTTTTCCATCCTGTTCCCTTTATTCATTATCAGCGCTAATGAAGCAAAGACCCCTGGAAAAGCATAGTAAGTATAAACCAGTGGTAGTGAGTGAAGTTTTCCTCAAGTAAATGAATGGGACTGTAACACTGTAATTACATCAGTGGTAATTTAGTAAGCTCTTATATTGCAGGAAAGCCTTAATGTGTATATAGAGAAAAATACCACTGTAATATATTCCAAGATTCTCTCCATAAATATATGTATGCAAATATTTTGTATTTCTAAGAGTAATGTTTTTAAAATTTTTTTTTTGAAAGATTTATTTTATTTTTATTACAAAGTCAGATATACAGAGAGGAGGAGAGATAGAGAGGAAGTGGAGCTGCCGGGAATTAGAACCGGCGACCATATGGGATCCCAGGTCATTCAAGGTGAGGACGTTAGCCACTAGGCCACGCCGCCAGGCCCGAGTAATTTTTTTTAAGGATTTATTTATTTTTATTGGAAATGCAGATATACAGAGAGGAGAGACAGAGAAGATCTTTTTTTTCCCACACTGAAATATATATTTTTTCTGTATCTGGGGTGAGGGGAGAAACAAAGGGAGAAGTCCCACCCAGCCTCCCACCCATCCCAGTTCCCCAATGTGGGGCATGCTCCGAAGGTCCTGCTCAAGCAGTTTTGATAATTCAGCAGTTCTGAATTGTTGTCACTCCCGCCATTCCAAGCATGATGAAATCTCTTCAGAATATACTGGCTGACATAATCTCTTCATGGTTGGGGTTCTGAGATCAGCAGTTCACTTGGAAGGATCCCCAGAAAAACTTCATCTGAGGTGATCCCAGCCCTGATTCTCGTTTGTGTTTGCCAGTACAGGTCTGAAACAGTCTGTCGACCATAACAGCTTATGCATAGGCTGGTCATTGCAATTGCTGGGTCAGTTCTGTTTCCAGCCCTGTCTTCCACACGAACCAATGGTTGTTCAGTCTAGCCCGATCCTGTCCATTTCATACTCTGCCCTCACGCAAACCAGTGGGAGCTGCAGCCTAGATGGGCAACTCCCCATTACCCCCACCAGGCCTGCCGTCCTACCCTGGTTCCCATGCTTGCCACTATGTTTAGAAAAGATCTTCTGTCCACACGTTCACTCCCCAAGTGGCCACAACGGCTGGAGCTGAGTCAATCTGAAACCAGGAGCCAGAAGCCTCTGGGTCTGCTTTGTACGTGCAGGGTCCCAGGCTTTGGGTTGTCCTCCACTGCTTTCTCGGGCAATAAGCAGGCAGCTGGATGAGAAGCGGGGCTGCTGGGATGAGCTGGCGCCCATATGGGCTCTTCTGTGTGCAAGGTGAGGACTTCAGGTGCTAGGCTACAGTGCAGTGCCTGATTTTTTTTTTTATATTTATTGATTTGATTAGAAAAATTAGGCAGAGATCTCCCATCTGCTACTCCCCAAATGGCTACAAAGACTAGAGCTGGGCCAGTCCAAACCTGGGAGCCAGGAGCTTCTTCGGGTCTCCCATTGGGCAGCAGGATCCCAAGGAATTTGACCATCCTCCGCTGCTTTCCCAGGCCATTAGCAGGGAGCTGGATCAGTAGTAGAATAGCTGGGACTGGCACAAAAATGGAATATCTGATGCTGCAGGTGGGGGATTAACCTGATATGCCACCACACTGTCCTCTAGAAGTAATTATTATTATCAACATTCTTAGAAGTTAACAATTCAGTGTTGGGCATTTGGTGCAGTAGGTAAGGGGCTGCTTAGGATTGTCCATCCAATATTGCAGTCTCTGGGTTTGCATTGTGAGGCTGCTTAGGTGTCCAGCTTCCTCCTGATGTATAGCCTGAGCAAGTGATGGTTCAGGTAACTGGTCCTTGTCATCCACATGGAGACCTGTTGAGTTTCTACCTCCCAACCTTAGTCTGATCCAGCATCCTATGAACCCGTGAATAGGAAATCTTTATCTCCTTGCCTTTCAAATTAAACAAACAAAAACAAAAACCACAAGAATTTAGCAGTTAGGATGACATATGCAGTTAAGCTCATTTTTTGTGAGAATGGACAGCATTTACTTTGGTTTATTTGAAAAGCAGAGTTGTGCCAGCACTGTGGCTCAGCGGGCTAACACTACCTGCAAGCACTGGATTGCCATATTGGTGCTGGTTTGTGTCCCTGGCTGCACCACTTTGAATCCAGCTCCCTGCTTAGTGTCTAGAAAAAGAGTGAAGAATGTCCTAAGGCCTTGTGACTGCATCCACATGGGAAATCCAGAAGAGGCTTAGACTCCTGGCTTTGAATTCACCCAACTCTGGCTGTGGCAGCTATTTGGGGAGTGAACCAGTGGATGGAAGGTATTTCTCTCTGTCTTTGCTTTCCTCTGTAAATCTGCCTTGAAACAAAAATAAATAAATCATTTTTTTTTTTAAGCAGAGTTAGAGATATGTTGTCTGCTCCTGGTTTACTCACAAATGACCACAATGCCTGGGGCTGAGCCAGGCTGAAGCCAAGACCCCTCTGTGCTGCATCAGGATTCCCGGCACTTGGGCAATCTTGTGCTTTTCCAGGCAAAGTAGTAGGGAGTGCGATGGGAAGAACAGCCTGGACTGAAGCTTGTACTCTCATGGGATATTAACGTTGCAGGCAGTGGCTTAAATTACCATGTTAAAATTGCGGTCTTGAGTGGCCAACTTTTAAAAGAAGTAGTGGGCAGTATGGTCCGGCCACTTGATTTTATTAATAATCGTAAAATTACCGCCTATGATGCCACCTGCATCCCATACGGGTGCTGCCAGTTTAAGACTTCCAAACCATCTCCCTGCAAATGGCCTAGGAATAGCAAAAGATGGTCCAGGTACTTGGGTCCCTGCCACCCATGTGGGAGACCCTGGGTGACGCTTCTGACTTCAGCCTGGCCTAGGTAGCTCTGGCAGTTGGGTGTCTAGGGAATGAAATGGCAGTTGGGGAATCTGTCTCTGTAACTTTGACATTCAAATAAATAAATAAAGCTTTTAAAAAAATGATAAGCATTTTTAAAGTTTTTTTTTTTTTTTTTTTTTTTTTTTTAGCAAAAATTCCAAAATTCCACTGCTTCTATTGCTTTAAAGAAAAACTGCTTTGGTCAAACCAATGGAGAATACTTGTGTTACAAATGTTAGGTCTGTTTAGGACTTTTGCATGTTCCCCTTTATAGCTATTACCGAGATTGGCCTTTTCTGACAATGTTTTAAACCACAGCATGTGATATCTTCAGATCATGGCTTGAAGTTTGTGCCCTGAAATCAGCTGCAGAAAAGTAGTCTCAGGCAGACGTAATCTAAAACATATCTCTTGAAACTTTGAGACCAGTGGTTTCAGTGAATATAAGATAGCAGCAGGACTCAGTACATTTCTTTGGTTTCTGCTTCAGCAGGCACGTCTAATTGTTGGTCACATCTCATTGTGTTGTCTTTCCCTATGTAGTTGCCACATAACTGAAGCAATCATTTTGATCTGGGATGCTAACCTGCCGGATCTCTTGCCATTTAGTCTTTTCCAGTTGCGCCTCTTCTCCCTGGTGGTCTTCTTAAGCAACAGACTCTTCCACAAGACAGTCTACCTGCAGTCTGCGCTGAGCAGCTCCACCTCTGCAGAGAAGTTCCCTTCACCACATGCGTCTCCTGCCAAACTGAAGGCTGCTGCAGGCCACTGAGTCGCCTGCCATCAGAGGGGCTGGGTGGGATTGGAAGGAGGCTGTGGCAGCTTTCTCTAATCTCTGACACCACCACGCCTCACCTTGCCCTATAGCCCCCAACTGGGGAAGGCAGGACTCGCTCTGCCAAGGGCCCTCTGCATATTCCCTTCTGAGGAATTGGAAGTTTTGCCTTTGGTGCACGTAAAGCAGCATCTTCTTGACACCAGTATGGATTTTTAACACCTCCGTGAGTCTGAAAGGACCACAGGTTTTCTGCAGCTATTTTCTAGCATTTTGCCAGCCGCTGCGCCAGGACTGGTTTGACTCCTTTGTTTTCTCCCTGTGCCATGGCCCCTCCCACCTCTCCTTCCTACCTTCTGCCACCCTTGGATGAATGGGTTTTGTAATTGTAGCTGTTGTGTTTTGTGGATTTGTTATTTTTGTTGTTTTTCTGTGAAGCACATTCATCAAATGGGGGGGCTAAAGGAGAGTCTCAGCTGCTCCTGGACACTCCCCATACAGCCATCACTGTCTTGTTTCTTGTAACTCAGGTTAGGTTTTGGTCTCTCTTACTCCACTGCAAACACATACACACACACACACACACACACACACACAAACAACAAGCCTGAAGAGATGGGACAGGAGGAGGGAAAACCCTACAGCCAGCTTGTTGGGTTTTGAGGAGGGTTTTTTTTTTCTTCCCCTTGAAGGGGATGTAATTCTTTTCACTGGTACATTTAAGGCTCCCCATCTGTGGGGAGGTGCCAGTTCAGGACAAGTGCCACTACAACAGAGATTGCTCAGAGAACCTGAACTTTTCATCTGTGGAGGGTGGAAATTTACTGTTAGCACTGCCGGTCTGTCTGCTATTTCAGAGAAGTATTGGGTGCTGCGAGTGGGAACCGAAGGCATAAACTTCTTAAACCCATGAAACCTGTGATTGGTTGGTGTTTTCCTTTCATTTTAAGAGAAACATGTGTTGGGGAATGGGGCAGATGTCAAAATACTTGTACAATTTAAAAACAAGTCACAATTAAATGTGAGCTGGTTTCCCACTAAGTGTGCAAATGATTGAATTTATAAAACGTGACCTTGAGATATTGATAAAACATGCAACTGTCTTGGAAAACCTGAGTGCAGTCTTGAGAAACTGGCCCTAAGGAATATTCCTTGAGGAAATTTGTATTGTATGAAACAGTCATGTTTACATTTTCTGACAGGTCCAGAAGAAGCTTCTGGAGCCTGGCTTTGCCCCTGGCCTATGTGGCCATTTGAGGAGTGAACCAGCGGATGGGAAATCTTTCTGAAACTACTGGGGAATGAAACAGTGGATGGAATATCCCTCTCTGTATCTTCCCCTCTCTTTGTGTAGCTTTACTTTCAAATAAATCTTTAAAAAAAAAACTTAGTTGGAGCAGAGAACTCCATCTGGGGTGTTCTGTGTGAGTGACAAGGACCCAAGCCATCACCTGCTGCCTCTTGCAGTCTGCATTAGCAGGAAGCTGGGACCCCAACCTGTAGGTATCCCAGGGAGGCCTTACTGCTGTACTAAATGCGTAGCCTCAAAGCTTTATGTTAAGCAACTTACAAAATAGTGAAAAGAGTGCTGTCTAAAACAACACATTTTCTCAAGTCAGGAGGGAGGAGGGGATTGAGACAAAGAATTTAGGTACAATATTGGGTTATTTTATAATAAATTGTTTGACCTTATTTCCCTCATTCTGATTATATTTATGCTGTGCATGTTCTTGCTCCCTATACTGTGCTGCCAAGGAGCCATCTAAAACATAAGCTTGCATTTTAAACTAATTTCCAAAGTTGCCTAACTTTCATTAGAAACATATAAGAGGGCCTGGCACGGTAACCTAGAAGCTAAAGTCCTTGTCTTGCATGCACCAGGATCCCATATGGGAGCTAGTTCCTATCCTGGCTGCTTCAGTTCCCTTCCAGCTCCCTGCTTGTGACCTGAGAAAGCAATGGAGAGGCCTAGAAGAAGCTCCTGGCTCCTGGCTTTGGATCACCTCAGCTCTGGCTGTTGTTGCCACTTGAGGAGTGAGCCAGCAGATGGAAGATCTTTGTAAATCTTTTCAATAAAAATCAACAACAACAACAACAACAAAATAAGAAACTTGCTCAAGATGCCAGGGTTGTGGAATTCCGTATCAGCACTAGTTGGTGTCCTGGCTGCTCTGATTACCATTCAGCTCTGCTAATGTGCCTGGGAAGCAGTGGAAGATTCCCCAAGTGCTTGGACTCCTACCACCCAAGTGAGAAACCTGGATAAAGCCCAGGCCTTGCCCTAGTCATTGTGGTCAGGTAGGGAGTGAACCAGCAGACAGATGTTAGATCTACTCCCTGCCTCTGCCACTCTTTCAAATAAGCAAGTCTTTAGTAAAAGTTCATGAGAGGAGCCAGTGGAATAGCTCAATTGATTAATCTTCCGTTTGCAAATGTCAGCATCTTATCTGGTGCCAGTTCGTGTCCCAGCTTCTCCGGTTCTGATCCAGCTTCCTGCATATGGTCTGGGAAAGCAGTGGAGGATGGCTCAAAACCTTGGGGCCCTTCACCCACGGGGGAGACTCAGATGAAGTTCCTGCCTACTGGCCTTGGATTGGCTCGGCTTTGGCCTTTATGGACTATTTGGGGAGTGAACCAGTGGTGGAAGATCTTTCTGTCCTCTGTAAATCTGACTTTTCCAATAAAAACAATTTTAAAAAACTAATGAGAACTCCATCAAGCAAAGAAACTACAGACTTTTTAAAATAAGGAAATTAAACTTAAAAAAAAAAACTTGGAGCCATTTTTGTATACAGCAGACTAAGCTAAAACCTACAATGCTGGCAACCTATATTGGAGTCCTGGCTGCTCTGCTTCTGATCCAGGCCCCTTACTGATGGGGAAAGCAGCAGATAAGTGTCAGATACTAACCTGTGTACTTGAGAGGGGTTGTAGAGTAAGAACAGACTTTCAGTGAGGCTGAAGAAATGTAGGTGTATATGTTACAAGTTGGACAGATGTGCACATTAGAACTTGCAGCCTGGTGTTTGTGGGCGCCCAGTTCAGCCATTATTGAATGTGCCGCACTTCCCACTCAGCTCCCTGCTAAAGTAGTGGAAGATGGCTCAACAGTTCTGCCTTTTGTGGCCATGTGGGGAGCAAACAGATGGAAAAATCTCTTTGAACTACATAAGCCTTGGGGGAGGGGGGCGGGAACTTTGCTTGGAAACCTTGCAACATGCTGTCAACTCTTTCCCAGGGCACAGCTAAGAATCGTCCTAGGCTCTGTGCAAGGGCGCTGTTAGGTCCAATATAGAAATAAACTGCAGATCCCCAGTCCAGAAGTCCTCCAGCATTATCCCAGAGGAAGGAAAAGGGAGGAGAGAGTGTTCACTTCCTGTATCTATAAAACCTCCGGTCTGCATACAGGCTGGGGTCTAGGTTCTGAGACAACCACCTGGTCTGTGTATTCTTTTCATTGAACATGGTTACCATACAATGGCTACTCTGTCACACATCTGAAAATTTCTTGTGCAAGGCAATGACTTGTGATCTGTTTCCTGTTAACACATGGGCGGGGGCTAACCACTTTGGGAGCCCTTGGTGGAGTTTCTGGTTCCTGGCTTCAACCCTGCGACCATTTGGGCGTAAAGGGAAGTCATATCTTTTCCTCTCTATCGCATTGCCTTTCAAACAAGCAAATCTTGTTTCTTAAGCAGCAACTCTGTTTTGAAGAATTTTCTTGAAGTTCTGTCAATCCTTCTGATTCACTTTCAGTTTCCTTCAGCTACAGTAAAACTCAAACTGAAGACAAAAAAGCAGATGTGTTGAATCATAAGGTCCGTGAACTTCGTCAAGAAGACATCTGAAACCCCGTAACGGCTGAGCTTCCTACTGCTCTGGTGGTTTCCGGAGTCGCAGCGGGAAAACCGTGAGGCCAATCGCTGCACCTTCCTCCTCTGGGCTAGGATCTCGGGGAAGAAGTGCGGGAGGACCAGACGATGGCACCCCTCGTGGGCGCTCTGTAGGATCTCCCCACGGGCCACGCAAGGTCGGGAAGGCAGCTCTCTGGCAGGAAAGCACCCTGCGAGCAGGTGAACCCAGAAAGCAGGGCTGGGAGGAGAACGCGGTGCTCGGTGGCAGTGGAGGCGCCGGTGGAGCCTTCATGCTTCCCTTTGGACTGAACAACACTCGCTCTCAGCCAGGAGCCGAGGAAGTCCGGTTATCGGCGATTCCTGTGCAGGAAGAGAGGAGCCGGATTACAGGCCGCCTCAGAGCCCGCCTATGGGAACAGCAGTCTCGGCCCACTCGTCAGCGCAATTCCGCTCCAAGTCACGTGACTGGGGGTAACTCGCCACCCCTTCCCTCCACTACTTCTTCTGGCCGCAGACCGACACGTCACTGCTCCACTCTCAACCAAACTGCTCGCGGCACGTTCTTTCCGCGCTCCTAGCTCCGGGGCCCGGGCCAATGACAGCTCGGCGGCAGCACAGGGTCACGCCTCCAGGGCGGCTAAGTGGCAGCAGTATTGACCAATTAGGAAGCGGGAGAGCGGCGCAGCCGGCCCCTCTCCCTTTGACAGACAGCACCACAATCCCGTCACTCTTCATCGTGGGCGTCTTGGACCAGAGTCAGCCAATAGAAAGCGACCGGGAGGTTGACTCGGCCGTTGCCAGGGTTGGGTGCGCCACTGAACGGATGGCAGAAGGAGCCGAGTGGTTTGCTGGGCACCGCTGGCCAGGTGAGCAGGCCGTGGGATATAACCGGAGAACCGCTGGCAGGAACAGTCTAGGACGTTCGTGGGGATGAAGGAAGTGCAGGAGGCAGGACTCTGCAAGGGGGAGGGGAGGAAGGCTTAGGGCCTTGTAGAGGAGGGGGCGTGGGGCGTGGTGTGGTAATGCCCTGGAATGAAAGGATGTGAGGGGCTGGGGAGGAGGGGTCTTGCTTAGGTCAGAAGGAGGTGGGAAAGGCTGGGCTAGGCGTGGAGGGGAAGGTGGGTAGGATGCCCGTGGAGGTGGTAGGTGGGTGATGTGTGAGGTTTTGGAGCTGTGAGAGCGGGAGGGAGAGGGAGGTGGGACCTGTAGGGGAACGCAGAAGGGAAGAGGAGAAGGCGAGTTGGTGGAGTGAGAGGCACTGGGGAGACGTCTGTAAGAAGACGGGGCTTGGAAACTGGATCCAGAGTGCGACAGACAGGTGGTTGCAGCTTGCAGGGCACGGTCCAAGAGAGCAGATTCTGAGCGTTTTCAGGACCAGCGACTTTGACCCTATTTGCCTTGGTGGAGTGTGCAGATGACCCGAAAGCACGCGATAGAAACTCCGTTACAGCCCGCCTCAATTCACCTGCTCCTTTACTCAGCTTGTAGCACTCGTACATCTTTGCTTGCTTTGCCGGTTATGTGACCCTTATCCATTCATTAGTGTTATCTTTGTTTGATATTACTTCTGTTCCAGGTGTTCCAGAAAACAGCTATGGAGCTGACAGATTGGGATGGGTTGTTGAGTTTCTGTAGTTAGGTTCCTGTAGTTAGGGCTTTTTTTTTTTTTTTAATTTGAAGATAAGATTTTCCTTTGGGATTGTAGTTAAATACACTCACATCTGAAGGTGCTCCTCTGGGATGGCTAATTATGGAAATGGTGGTTAACTTCTCATTGTAGAGCGTTGGAATATGTGATTCTTCATGCCCTCTCCCTGGTCCAGCAGTATTTTTTCCTCTTCTCCAGGCCTAGTGGAGGAATGTAGGTTCCTGTATTTTGTTTGAACAGTCTGGAATTGTGTTTATGTCAACTCTGTTTTTTTAATGTCTGTATCATGTAGGCGTCGATGGGCTTACCACTGAAGAAGGTGGTACTATATTATACAAAACTAGCTAACTTCTTATGGTAAGTTAGTACTCCATAGGCAGTTTTTATCTATCAGGCAACTAATATTGTGAGCCAGTTACAGACTGCCTCCCTCAGTATTCTATTGTAAGCTAGTTTTTTATGTTTTGCTTTTTTTCCCCCTCTGACCTTTTTCTGTTTCAATAGGAAAGGTTGATTTTCTCTTCCCTCCAGATCT